GTTCAAACTGTATTAATGGCTTCATTTGATCAGAAGTATAATTCCTCTAATTCCACTTAATGTATTGGAGATAGTATAGCACGATTTCTTCGTTTTCAACATTCATCCATGATGCAAGATTTATAATATTTTAAGCTGTCATTAAAAAGCTTACTTTCAAGTACTGGATCTTTTCTGATTGAAGAAATAGTTTAGAATTAGTAAGATCCGTAATCCTTGTAAACCATTTGTAAAATAAATTTTCTTGCTATCCCTTTGTTTTAATTCATACTCAAATCGACTTGGCTGTAAGTACAAATTAAGGTTTGTTTTCCTCAGATACTGTGCTTGCCCGTGGAAAAATCAAGAATGTTTCTCATATCTTTTACTTACATAATCTCTGTGCACGTTTACCCTTGATGAGTCTGAGTGGTTTTATTCAGAGTAAAACAAATCTGCAGGAGTTACTGAAGTTTCAGGATGAGATGTCAGTAAATAAGCAGTAAACTAAACTATCTATTTTATAAATACGTGCTCTTTTTGCCCTATTTTCTTTTTATCTGTGAAGTTGTAAAGAAATAAGTGTTCTTCAGTTTAAGTTGTTTGAACTTCATTTCTTCTTGTGCTATGATTTACTTCTGTGCCTGGCTTTTCCACAGTGTGAACTTCTCTAAAGCCTTCTTCTTTTATTCCCAGTTTTAACGTTGCCTTATGGCCAGTCTGGTCATTTATCACACCTGTGGTGTTGTTCATTCAGTTTATGGGTGTTGTGATGCTTGTGTCGCTCCTAGGATAAGTCTTACAGGTAAATAATTGAATTATTCAAGCACATAGAAGCGTTTATCTTGTTGCATGAGTTGCTTTGTTATATAAACCATTTAAGGATTCTTTCTTTACATTTTATATACAGTTTTAGAATGCTGAAATTTTATGGCAAATGGAGTTACCTGAAAATATGCAAGTATCTTTAAGGGAAGAATACCTTTTTCTTCTTCTGAAAGATTCTCTTGTGGACAGTGAAAAGATGAGTGAGAGTGGATGGTTTTGGGGAGTACAGGCCAAATACTTGCAGTTTCTATCCAGGCTGGGAAAACTTCTTAGGGAAGTTGCTTGACATGATAGTAAAAGGGAGAAGCTATCCAAATGCAGTTGTCTTCTCTTAAACTCAGATTGTCTTACCTTTATCGCTGAGTATGCTGCTTTGATTTTTGTGGTGAATGGTCTAGTTCTTCCTTAAAAGCAACCTTTTTATGGCAAATACAGACAGTTTTTCAACTTTAGAAATTCTTTCTCAACAGCCACCGTGTTGAAAAGGGCTTTTCAGATTTTGTTGATATTCTATTCAAATGGATCCTGTGAAAATGGAAAAACTCAGTGGGGAAAACATTAAAGACAGCTCAATAAGTGGAGTGAGAGATGCTCCCCAAATCACAGCTGTATCATCCAGGGAGGTGGCTCCTTCAGAACTGCTTTAGTTTATTTTGGGACCTTGAGTTATGTTTGCTAATGCAAAATTCTTCAGTGCATGTTTATTCCTTCTGTCATTAGCAATGCTCTGTTTAAGTGCTGGAAAGGTGGGGAAAGAGTACATTGTGAGCTGTTAGAGCTGTGCTCATATCAATAGTCTGAAACAACCATACTGCTTTAATTTGTACTTAGAGGTAGAAAGTAAGAAGTATAAGTGAACTGCAGATATTCTGAACAGCTAAATCTTAGGAAAACATCCTGGTTTTCTCAATGAACAGCCTGGTAAATTATTTTATACAGCATATTATTTACTTGATGATGTAAAATCATCCAACTAATGTATATCAAATTAGTACAGGATATGGCTTGTGCAGTATGTAAAGCCTTGTAGTGTGTGTATATATGTGTATGCATAACATTTGATGTGTTTTTTTCTTTTCTTTCAGCTTCGTGTGGAGGATTCAAGTAAAAATTATCCTACGGAGTGGATGTTGCTTTAGTTCCATTCCATTCTGATTATACTAAGCTACCTGATTTTATACATGAAATTGACATTAATCCATGGTTCAACCAATGGCTGCAAGAAGGCAGATGATTAGCAAGTAATTGAAAGATGGATAGATTTTCTTTTAGTGACATAATGCATTTCGTACTTTCTTTCTAACAACATTATAGAACTGACTTATTAATCATTCACCTAGTCTTAAATCCCATCTGTGGACTCCAGAGGTCACTTAGTCCAACTTCCTGCTTCAAGTGTGTTGATTGATTTGAAAATAAGTGATCCTTAAATTTAAACGTTATGGTTTTTAATATGCTATTTTTACATTTGAATTGATAGCTAAAATACTAATATTTGGAATCTCTTTGAGCTTATAAACTTGGAGATAGATGACAACAGAGGAGACATTTATTGATCCACTAGATTTATAATTTTATGTTTTCATTGAAGGAAATATTTCATTGATCTAACCCTTGACTTCAAATATGTAAGTATTTGAAAAAAAGATATGGATTTGAGTACGGGTCTAGAAAGCTGGTTGAAATTTACATCACTGATAATCTGACAGTGCCAACAGTGAAATAAATGGATTACACTTGTATTGACATAATTTGTCTACAGCCAAAGGCGAGCTATCAAGTTGTGAGTAACCAGCAATACAGTGAACAATAGGAATGTTACACAAGAAATTAGGAGCACGAAGAAAATTATTTTGATGTATGCACTATGTTTTATTCTATGTATTTTATTCAAAAAGTAACTTTTCATTCTTTAAAGTGCCTGTTAATAAAATTGCCATTTTTCCTTCCTCAGTAATAGAGGTCAATATTAAATGAAAAGCCACACGCATCTGGGTAAATAAAATAACATTGTCAGTTTGTTCAGCTTGGCTGTGATACTAAAGTATCTGGGCACCATTTAGTTTCCAGACCATTTTGTATATGTCATTTTGTTAAACGTTTTTTATGGAAGATACGAGAACGTAAAAGCCGGGTGCTGAAACTTGCTTAAATTTACTCTTTGTGGTTGTTGCTTGAAGTCTGGACAGTTAGAAGAGTCTGTGTTCGTTATCCTGACTTTCAGATTCACACCATTGCTGAAAAAACAATATGTGAAATTTTTAGTAATGAAAAATGTAGATGTCTGAAGTTACTGCTGCTTCATTGAAGAAAAATTGCTGTCAGTATGCAGTTTAAAGGATCAGTCAAACCAAACCAAAATACATTAACGCTACTGCTAAGTTGGTTGTAAACAGCTTGATATTTTTTTTAAAATAAAATATTTGAATTTTAAAAAACATTTGTACTGAAAAGATCTTAAAATCTTAATCTTTTAACAAATTCCAACAATTTTATGTCTGCACAGATGTGCACATTGAGTTACTTTGTTCATTATGATGTTTAAATGCACTGTTGCTCAGGGATGGTAATAGTCATTGTATTTTTATTTATCAACTATATAAATACTCTGGGTGCTTTAAGTTGTTTTGTCCTTTTGAATTAATATTTGCTACATGTTTGTTTCAAATGTATTCTTTTGGACATCTTAATAAACTTTGTATAAAAGTGATTAATTATTGGTCAGTACTTAATTGTTTAGCCATCAAATTCCACTGTTCTTGGTCTGTCAGCCCATCATTTTGCCCGTGTTTGTCTTTCATGACCTCTCAGCTGGGTTAATTGATTGTGTAAAACCAGTTCGTATAACTTGGTTAGAGGTATTTGCCCTCTGACTACTTTGTCTTTTTCTGAGAATGCCAGGTAGAGAGAGAAGCTTACTGCACAGAAGTCTTGCAAGGTCTTTTGGTAACCATTCTGAGTATCAAATGCAATACTCATATCCTTGTATGCTCAAAAGCAAGTAGTGGTGAATCTGGTAAGAATGTTTGCTGTAATTAACAACCTGACAAAATCTTGTTGCTACTTCCAGTTCTGTCAACTCCTTGCTTTCCTTATTTTCCTTCTACCAAATCAAGAACTTAGGGCAAGACATCAGAAAGAGATATCTTAATAGCTTCCTGAAAACAATGATTAGGTTGTCAAAAGCCTTACTTGCACTAAAGCATGAATATATTTGCTGGCTTCAAACCATGCTCTCTCTAGATATATATTATTTTTTGTCCATTTCCATTGATTTCTTTTAAGAATGAGAATATGTGCCAGTGTCAAAGAGCTCTTCTTCACAGGTAAAACTAGATGCTTTAAAATCCTCTTAAAAGGAATGGAAATAAAATAACCCAGACAGTTACATGTAGAAGCTCTGTAAAATGAAAGCACCTATGTTCCTTTTCTTTAGATGTAACAACTGGGTAAGATACCAAGTAGAACATAGCAGTTCTACAAGCTTCAGAAAAGAACGAATGTAGTTCTGAGGTGATGGAAGGCTTATGTGTTCATCTGTTACCAGAAATGTCCTTTGTTACTTTCGTTCTTTAGCTTCAAAAGAGAAGCTTAAAACCTTAAGTTTTGCCAGTTGGAGTAAAATAAATGCCATCTTCTCATTCCTTCCAGTTGTTTAAGTAGTTGAGTTAGTGGTTTAATTTCATTCGAGACATAGGCTGCAGAGTGTAAAAAACAAAATAAAAACAAACACCATTGCTTTGGATGTTTGATATGCCACCACCAGGGTTAGGGTAAAGATGTGAGACCTGCCTGGCCAGAATAAGGACAAGTCTATCTTTGTATTTAGCCTCCAACCTATGGCTACGCGAACACCTAGCATTAGGAGAATTCGTGTTGAACACAAACAAAATACCACCTGAAATATTTCATGTTTTACGCTGGGATGAGTTCCTGTCAGCCCCCACAGGCAAGCAACTGGTGCTCCGGATCTGGAGGTTTGCGTGCATTCCTGTCTTCTGGCTATAGGTCACAGAACGTTTTCTCCTCTGGTCCTGCTGCCGTCCCCAGGGCACGGTGCCCGCCGCCCCTCAGCAGCCCCGCAGCGGCGGGAGGCACGGCGAGGGCCGGCGGTCCCGCTCCGCCCCCGGTGCCGCTGTGGGCCGGGCTTGGGGCTGCCCGGGGAAGCGGGGCCCGCAGCGAGCAACTGGGAGATGGAGAAAGCCGGCGGTTCGTCCTCCGCGGGAGGCAGCTACCCGCAGAAAAACGCCGAGATCCTCAGCAGCCAGTACGGCATCAACCTGTTCCTGGCCGGGCTGCTGCTCACCTTCGCCTGGGCTGTGCACGCCGTCGGTATCAGCAAGAGCCATCTGCTCTCCTACCTCATCACGCTGATGCTTGTCCAGCTGCTGTGGATGCTGTGGTACCTGTGCAGGAGCTGCACGCAAAGGAGGCTTATCCGAGACAAGGACACGCATGCTGGAGCCCGCTGGCTGAAGTGTAAGTATATGGCATGCAGGTGGCACCGGGCACGGGATGTGTGTGTGTGCCATCACCCACCTCCATACCGCACCGATCCCCTCTGCATCTCTATCAGGGAGCATCCTGGTGCTGGGGATTTGTGCACACACAACGAGTGCTAGTTAAATACAGGCATAAAGATCCCTAATGAGGGATCACGTGGGAAAACTGTCTCTAAACATTCCCACTTCCCAGTGTACTACTTACAGTGCTGAAAAGTGCAGAGCCATTTTTCCCCTTTCCCGCATGTACCAGGCTACTTTGACAATACATAAGAAATAAAATACAGATTTTGGAAGAGGCAGTTGTTACGTGCAACATTCCCACAGGATTTACCACCTTTTCCAGGCAATGAAATAGTCCTTATGGTAGCACCAGTCAGAAATATCCCCAAGGGTTCTCTCCACTCATGTATTCCAGATATTCCCATTTGTACGTGTCCAGTGATGCCTTAGAATAGTTTTATGGAATCACAGAATGGCTTAGGTTGGAAGGGACCTTAAAGATGAGAAGCTTCAATCCCCGTGCCATGAGCAGGGCTGCCAACAACAGGTCAGGCTGCCCTGGGGTACCGTCTGTAGGCTGGATCTTCAAGATCACCAAATTCAACCATCAAACCTTAGAATAACCTCGAATTAGAAGAGGGCAAGATACTTGTCCAAACCAGTGTATAGTTTAGTAGGTAAAATATATAAACATGTAAAAGTAATCAGAAGCTAGCACTACTTGTAAGAAAAATATGCAATTCCAGAAGGGTAATGGAGGGCTGTAATGGCTATTATTTTCAGTTCAGGTGCCTATTGTAAGGACACAAGTTATACCAAAGACTGGTGGGGCACACTGCAGTCCCACCGAATGCCATATTTCTGGTTCCCAGGAAAAGGAAGCCCAAATCAACATTACATACAGGAATAGACAAGCCCAGCTTTACTGACTGCTTTTCCAGTCTTGGTACTTCAAATAGTAGGTTGGAAAGTAAGTATGTTGAGTGCTATAAAACAGCCTAGGCATGAAGTATTTTCTTGCTCTAGCAAAGATACAGCAATCAATTATCACAGCATCAGCTAATGAAAAACTTAGATGAAAATCCCAAGAACATCTAAAATTTGATTAGTTTGAGAAGTAAGGCTGTGGTGTGAAAGTCTAGTTTAGCCTCAGTGGCTGTGTGTCTTTCATTTTTCTTTGCAACTGTTAGCAATTATTTTATAAGAATTAATCTGAGGAATTATTAGGGGATTTTTTAAAATTATTATTTTTTAATGTATAACAATATACAGCCATGGTCTGTAGACTCTCTTGAATGTATGGACTTATGTGCCAACTGTTTCTTTTGATTATTCACTGTTTTCCAAAATAATGTTCAGTTATCAGGCATTTTTTTCATTTATTACCTTTTGTGACTTAAATCCTACCAAAATTCATAATTGCAAGCTTTAATTTGATCCTATTTTGGATCAAGCTATACTTTTGTTACAAAGAAAAACTTTCTCCTCCTAAGTATGGAATAAATACTACTTAACATGGGTGAGAAGAGCAGAACCCCCTGCCCTTTCTTCTATTGGCACAGAATTCACAGCATTTCATTTGTCCTACAGGATATAAGGAGCTACAGACATTGAGAAATAAGATCCTGGAATGCACTACTTGGTTACCTTATCCATTTCTTTTAGTAGCACAGGGTTGCTCTTTGTAATATGTTCTTGGCTGTGGCGGCTTCCACGGTTTTTCTTGGATGTCTACGCTGCAATTCAATAAATTTGTCCTTAGGGAAAGTCCTACACTTTCCTATTCTTAAGAGTTTCTTGTAGTTACATCAAGCTCGTAAAACTCCTTTGTTCTGTACTAGTAAGAGAAAACTTAGCTGAGCTAAGGTGGCAGTTCCTCTGCCAAGATCCCTCTTGTTCTTCCCTGTATCAATGGGTTGGCTTAGAAATCTTTTATCTGGCAGAGAAGTCCAAAAATGAGGGGCATTGACACATTTTCATCAAGTCTTTCCACAGAAAGCTCTTGGCAATTCTTGACTAGCTTTATCAGCCGCTTTTGAAGAACATGTCCTTGCTTTCATCGCTGGAGAAAATGTCTGTGAATCAACTAGTACAACATGTAAACACAGGCTCAGTGTATTTTCATGATTCCCTTCAAACCGTGATCATCATTTTGGTGAAAGTGGTGGTAGGTGGCTATGGCAAATATGGGAAGAGAATAACTTAACAAAGACCTTTTGTAGCAGAGTCCTGGCACACAGTTAACAAAGTTAGAAGGAGAAATGGCCAATGACAAGAACTGCCTGCATAAAGGTTTCCTGAAGTCTTTTTGTGCCTAAATATGAACTTTGTGAACTAGAGCAGTTCCCTTCCAGCTTGCATGGTAGACCAGCCTCTTCTACTTACTGACAAAAGTTCCTGTGAGATCTTTGTCTTAAACGAAGTCCTGCTGTCCTGATCCAAATAATCCCGGGGAAACTGATGAAGCCTTGTATAGATGGACTTCTTCCCTTTTGTTGTTCCAAATTTTATTCCCCTAAGGACACTTTCCTGTAATGAAAAGCTCTGTAATCATTATTTTGAAGTTCAGCCTGCTGAGACAAAGAACTCGAATGGGAAATTGATTGGTTTCGCAAATGGCTTTATTTCTTTATGTTCTCCAGCAGCACATCTTCAGTTTAAAGCATAGGTGGCTGGTCACCTTGCCCAGCTCTTGGCAGACTTCAGCTTACATCTTTTTCTTACTTGCATTAAATTGTCCTTTAAAATCCAAACTCTATTTTTAGAGTGACACTTTCACAACTGTATCATCTTGATTTCCTGCTTTTTAATGGCTAATAGGAAGAATTAAGCCAACGCTTTGCAATACTGAAAATCCTATTCTTGATCTTTTAAAATACAGAAATTTCAATGAACATTAGAAAAATAATCAAATTTTCTTAGTACGGTGCTCAATAGAAATTATACAATATTTCTTAAACTTGCAAATATAAAAATAGCGGGACCATCTTCAAAATTTTTAATAATGTTATATATCAATAACTAGGATTAAGTTATAATACTGAAGTTTTCATCTTTGGCTCCTTTCTAAAAACCAACCCGCACAGCTTGTTGCAGTTTTGGTCTCTGACATGAAGTGCAGCCTCCAAACAACGGAGATGGCATATCAAGTGATTGTGTTACTGCCTGCTATAGAGTTCTTGGGTCTGGAAACTGTAACATTATTGTTCAGTTCCCCTGATTTGTATAGTTGGTTTTGTGACCACATAAAGCATTAATTTATGCACTGTATGGCTGCTCCAGAGCTACATTTTGAGAGGCTGATCTTGCAAGGACTTGAGAGCCATCTACAAGGTGCTGAGAGTCTTCAGGTCCATCGCTGGATGGACTAGTTGTGCATAGTGGTATGCTTTAGTGATGTGTTGGGCAGAGGCTTTCAGTAATCTTACCTATTACTCTGAGTGAGTCATCCTCATGAACACAGATCCACTTTTATTTCCCTAAACAAGAATATGTATAGCAATTTGCATTTATTTTCCTAAACAAGATTTTGGCATGAGGTAGAGATTATCTCTAGTCTATGTACAATGACATTTTCTAATATCTTTTCATTTGCAGGTGGAATTACATTATTTGCAGTGATTACTTTAATTCTGGACTCCTTTAAAATTGGATACTATATTGATTTTTCAAACTGTTTGTCGCCAACTGAAGGCATTTTTCCTGTTACACATGCAGCACACACCATATTACAGGTAAAAGTCACCAGTTGCAATTTTATATTATAGATGTACTTCTTGCTAAAAATATCTTTCTTTTTTTTTTTTTCCTTCTCATCTTCAGTGGATTTTACACTATCTAATTTCTAACTATTTAACAAGATAATTTTGAGGGCTAAGTTTTAATGCATGTACATAAATTTTATGTGCACATTCAGACTATGCATCCTGACATTTCAATAATTGCTCAGCTGGAAAACTCCTATGGGTTCAAAAAAGAAATTAAAAAAAACCTCCGTTGTAGTTGAAGTTATACGTTTTTCAGTTTGTTACGTATAAAGCTTTTCAGAATTTTGTGGCAGAAGAGAGGAGCTTGATGATAAGACAATTCACTTATTTCTGTATGCACAACTTGCCACACAAAAATCAACCTATCTGTTCTGATATCCCTGATAGGAAAGGATGCCTGATTCTTCAAGTGGAAAAAAAAACAACTTTTGTTTATGGGTAATAAAATACTTGCACATCTTTTGTGTAACAAGCAAACATAGATTTTGCTTCCAGAAGCATTTGGTTATGCTTCTCAGTAGCTGTGCAGTACCAAAGATGGTCAACAACTCCTGTAAAATACTCCATCCACTTGTTTACTTTCAGGCTTTGTCTCTGTGTTACATTGTGACGTTCCGTAGCAAATTTGTTATTGCAAGAATAAATATTGCCCTTTTCTTAATTACATGACATAGCAAAAAAGGAGCTGGCCAGTTTTCTTAATAGTTTTCCTTATTTTGAGTGCCTGGATCATGAATACTGCCTAGCTCTGTTGCAGCTTGTTATCCAGTCTGTGTGAAAGCACAAATAATGGACTGTTGATATCTGCAGGAGCCAGGTGTATTTCATGGTAAGGTGAAGATAGAGATTTTTATCCCCTTTCTTGTCAGGACACTCCAAAATTCGAATTCCTTTAGGCCTCTATGAGCAGATTTGTGGTGAAGAAAGAAAGGAAGAGCCACGAAAGAACGATAATCAGTTGCAGCCAGGTGATCTGATGCTCTTTTGAAGATAATTAAGTAACACACTGATGAGAGCAAGAACAAGAAAGAAAATAATGGTTTTTCTAGTGATTGTGGTTGCATGTAAGTGAGCCATCAAACCACCTACATTCTACATTTCTGTAGCAGAAAAGAAAAAACAAATCATTGAAATTTAAGCAGTAATCTCTATTTTTTTTTTGTCTGAGAGCAATATTCATATTTGATGGAAGTAGACATAATTTTACATTCCTATACTATTCACTCTCCATAGAATCACAGAATGGCTTGGATTGGAAGTGATCTCAAGGATTATCAAGCTCCAATGCCCTGCTGTAGACAGGGCCACCAATGTCTAACTGTTTCTTTGCTTTACTTTTGAGAAACAAACTTGAGAAGTTGAGCCTTTTTTTCTTTTTTTCCTACTGATTTGCATGCAGCATTCTTTATTGCATCCAGTAACCCCTACTTGATGGTGATTCCAGCTACTGTGAACTAGAGTGTGGAATAGATGTAGCTGAACAAAGAGAACAATAATTTTGTTTAATTTAATATTACGTCACTCATGTTGCCAATTTTATCATTTGCTTAGCTTAAAATAATGAAATCTTGAATGTTAGTATGAGCACTCAAAGAAAAGGTAAAGTGTGTAATTTACCACATACCTCTTACTGAAGAAAATTCTCATGTCCTTGAAATGCAGGCTGAAATTACACCAGAGAGGATTCCTAATTACTTGTCATTTGAAAGCCTAGGGATTCATTTTCTGCAGAACATGTGTTGGATGCTGTTGTATTTTACTATAATGAGACATCCTATTACTTGCCAGTAAATGAACAAATATATCCTGCAACTGTGCAAACAGTGAACTAGCACTGACCTACCTCTGATCTCCACCGTTCCAAGGCAGCCTTTGCATTAAGCTCTTTCACAGACAGAGCCCTTTGTTCCTTTGATGCAACATGTGCTCTGGGAGCAAAAACTAGATTGTGTTTAATTTCTTTACCTTAGTTATTTTTCTATCCCTATTTTTGTTCCACTGTCTTGATTTCAGTGTTTGAACTAAGCTTTTTTTTATTTTAGTTCTGAAGAATGTTTTCACATCTGCTGTTAGATTTTACCACGTATATCCTATGGCAGAGATAAGGCTAAGGTGATATGGAGCCACCATGGTATAAGTCATCAGTGGTTAAATCATCAAGGTTTCTGTTTTCAGGTATGCCTTCCTTTTTGAGTTTCGTACATATGCATTAGTATAATGACATTTCTCTTTATTTCATTCATTTAGGTATACTTTCTTTGGTGTCATGCAAAGGATATTATCCAGTCTTTCAAAACACTTGAAAGGTAAAGTAGATCTGATCCTCATCGAGAATGCAATAAATGCACGTCTGCACAGTGTTTTAACACCTATGGTTTTACTGTGTAAGGAACACTGAAAATTCACAAAGCTTCATTTTCCTCTTAGTTGTGTTATTGTAAATAAAAAGTAACACTGTTCACCCAAGTTAGAAGATAATAGTCTGAATTATTTTTTTCTTCTTTTAGGCATGCTTTAAAGCATGCAATAGACACAGAATAAGTATATGTTTATTACGAGAGAGGGAAAGAGTGTAATGTATGACATGTCCAGAATCATGTATGTTTGTTAGAGGAAGGAAGCATCAGATTTACATCTGAGAACTATGCACAACTCTGTTTTCTCTTGCTGAGATGGAATCTGCATCATCAACCTGCAGTCAGTGCAGTGTATCTGGGATATTTTATAATGACCTTTTAGGAACTCATCTTTTGGAGCTAGGTGCAGGCATGCAACTACTCTGACAAACACAGCCTCCCCAGCAGTATCCTGTGCACCCAGCTCAGTTCTGCATATTTTTGCCACCAGATCTTGATTCTCCTGCTGTAATTGGTGTGTCCTCTGAAACAAGTGAGTACATGCATTTGGTATGGAACTGAGGACTGGTCTTTGAGGCAGAAGAGCTAGCTCTGATGTATTTTGGTTCTGTGGAAGCGTAGATCAGTGAACATGAATTGTCTTGACACAAAAGTGAAATAAACAAACATAGGAACTTTTTAAATAATAATGTCAAGTTGTCAGTGAGCTGACCACTTGTAGGAAGTAAAAGAAATGTAGTCAGATACTTCAGCTCTGATGATAGCTCTCCTTTTCTCAGCTCCCTTGGTAAACATTTCAGCTTTATAGCAGAAAGCAGAGTGATCACAGAAGGCTTGCAGTGTCACATGGAGAAACCAGCTCTGTTTCTATGTAGAATTTCTGAAATACCTGATTGCAAGTCATTCACTGCAAACAGTTCAGTAATAAAGATTCTTAGTGAAGAAACATCATGAGTCTTGGGTGCAAGAGAATAAGGCTTGGCAGAACAGTGAATGAAAGGATTGTGCCCAGGAAACAGATACCATGGTCTTCTATAATAAAAAGGGAAATGCTGGGCAATTAAGAACAAGTATTATATGGATTTAACCAGAAGCTTCAGAATCATTAGCCCATTTCTTTCTCTGATGCCATTCTATTTCACCAAGCCATGACATGGCTTGTCCAAGACCAAGATTCTTAAAACCACTTGGAGACCTAGCCTCACTGTACCAGTAGTCTGAATGGGATAAAGCCCTCTGTTGTCTTCAAGCTATCTCCAGGAGACAAAAATGCATGGACTAGAAGTTAGACAAAGCAGTGGTATCTCTTAGAAGAAAGGCCAGCCACAGTGAGTATGAAGAAGCACCACAGAAATACAACTTGCAGAACAATTAACCCTGGTCAGAATGTTAATTCACTGTCATTAACATATCCAGTCCAAAGAATAAAAAACATCACAAAAGAGAGCATGAAAGCATCCCATCTGTGCTTTAATATATTAATCCATTTTGTTTCTGTGCTAATTTGAAGGTCTAACATAGATTGTGCTCCACTGTGGAACATGTTTAGAGAGATCATTTGATCATTTACTATTTTTTCTCCCTGCACTAAGTAGTGCAACATGTGGTACTATTAATCCATTTTACTTAACATACGTATAGATATAGATATATGTTGTGCAGATTCCTTCAATAATTACCTTGTTTTGTAGGTTTGGGGTTATCCATTCTGTGTTCACAAATTTGCTCTTGTGGACAAATGGAGTGTTAACAGAGTCAAAGCATCAACTGAATGAACATAAGGAAAGACTGATCACACTTGGCTTTGGGAATATAACAATAGGTAAGATGAAGTGTTGGTACATTTTGGAATTGCTGCTCCCACACAAAATGCTACATTTCTGCAGGACAGAGCTGGGTACCTGCTGTATGGGCAAGAAGTCAACTGATACACAGTCTTTTTATATAATAACTAAGATGTATTACCATGATCATGTATGCAACTCAGGCTGTGGTTTTCTGTCATTTTATCTACCCATTGGTTGAGGTCCAGAATAAAAACAATTGCCAGAAGATACAAGTAAATCTTAAAAAATAATTCTTTTGAGGAATAACATCACTGAGTAACCTTTTATTAGTAAATGAAAGAAGTAAATTGAATACAGCTATTGCAAAAACATAATTTACTATTTTCTAAACTATCACTAGAGAAACAAGAATGGATAATTTTGGATAATGGAAAATCCTTCCCAGGAGAGAGGTAACATGTGGTATGCAGACCCATGGAATTTGGCAGAATGATTCAGAGTGTTTTTAAATGAACACATTGTAAAAATGCTATCTTCTGGCACTGTGGAAATGTATGCTTTCTTAAATTACTTGATTGAGTTATAAATACACATTAAGTACATTTATTTTACACACATGTGCAATTTGTTCTTTGAGTTTACAATGCAGGTTATTGCACAGCAGAGAGAGAATGATTTCACAGGTTCCTCTCAGAAGGAGTAGATAGATTCATAGTTATTTTACCTTCAAACTATGCTGGGGTATCACAAGAAAGTATCTGTGGTTTATTTTATCTTTTTCCTAGACATAAACAAAAATTTAATGAAGTGCTGTGGTTATTAGAAGTGACACTAGTGTAAGTAACTGATACAAATGAGAGGAGCTTTCTTCTCATTAAATTTGTGCTGGCCATCTGACCCAAATGACTGAGGACTCAATCCCTTGGCATCTTTGATATTTGTGTAATAGAACAGTATTTCTACAAAGGCTCCTCTGCACTTTGCTGCAGCATTTGTTCATGGTGTGGTTATTGCTAAGCAGCTAGAGATCACGGTTTGGGGACCATGCTAATGACTTAAACAACCTGAGCCCATTTTAGATGGCTGAGTGGACAGCACGATGTGTTATCTCACTGAAATCTTACCCTTATGTTTTACTGTTTTATTTGTTCACTTCAAGCTACAATTCTGTATAGTTCACAGTTCTAATCTCTCTCCCTTTCCTTTAGTTTTAGATGACCATGCTCCTCAATGCAATTGTACAACAACAACTCTCTGTTCAATATTTTCTCAGGGAATATATTACCTGTACCCCTTTAATATAGAATACCACATTCTAGCATCCACAATGCTCTATGTCCTGTGGAAGAACATCGGCCGCAAAGTAGAACACCATCAGCAATACAAAACTCCATTCAAATTCCACGGCATAACCGTTGGGATGATTTTTGGACTAATTGTGTTAACTAGCACAATAGCAATTGTTGTGGTGTATTTAATCCAGATTGGACGTTCGAAAATCAAAAGCGAGTTAGCACTGACAATGTTTTACCTCCATGCAATCTTTGTGCTGGCTCTCATGTGCACAGCTGGAGTCATTGCCCTGCTGATCTACAGACTGGACGATAGGTCATTGGACAACTCCAAAAATCCCGCTCGAAAACTGGATGCAGAGCTGCTGGTAGGCACAGCTGCCGGGTCCTGGCTCCTATCCTGGGGCTCCATCCTAGCGATTATCTGTGCTCAGGCTCATCCCAAATACACTTGGTATAATCTGCCCTATTCCGTCCTGGTCATCATTGAGAAATACATTCAGAATCTCTTTATCATTGAATCCATACATCGTGAGCAGGAGAAGGTGAATGATGATGTTAAAACGCTTCGAATAGTGACAGTGTCTCAAGGGAGCACTTTGACACTTACACCCTCATACAAGGAGATTTACAATGGCCACGCTGCCCAGGATGTTGGGGAGTTGCCATGCCTGTTCCGTGGCAGCATCTGTGCCAGAGAATCTGTTGGGAGCAGCGGTGACAATGAAGGGACAAGTCAGGGAGGTGATTCGGGCATGCATTTTGCCTCTGAGTTCTCCCTCTGCAGCAGGAGCTCGGTGGCTGACAACAAGAGGAGAATTCTGAAGAACATTGCTGCATTTTTATTCCTCTGCAACCTTTCGGTAAGGCATTTTGAACGTAAATCACAAGCTACTACCCAAATCTTCCTAACCCGTCTAGCCTTATGTTAAAATTACAGGGCTCCATAGTCTGTAGCAAGTAAATTTTAATTCTTCTGGAAGAGTAAGTAGATATGCCTTTGGGGAACAGAGTTTATCTCAACATGGAATCTAACTTTTTTTAGTCATCATAAAGGAAGTGTAAAAAAACTATTAACAGTAAAAGCTGAAATCTCTGCCGTTGTGCCCCAGTAACAGGGAGGGCTCCGATATTTCCAGAACTAAACTGCAGGCTTATGGGAGCACAGTCATTATGGGCTGGTCCCTCATCATTTATAATTAATATAGCATTGCTTTCTTCCCTTGCAGCTTTGGATACCGCCAGCTTTTGGGTGCCGCCCAGAATACGACAATGGGCTGGAAGAAATCGTTTTTGGCTTTGAACCTTGGATAATTGTTGTGAACCTTGCGATGCCTTTTTCTATTTTCTATCGGATGCATTCAGCTGCCTCACTCTTTGAAGTCAACTGCAAAACATAGATCATACACGGTCCCTCAGTGAACAATTGATTGAATAATTAATTAAACAAATAACAGATGAAAGAGTGAATGAATGAGTGAGCGTAGCAACAGCTGCTCAATAGACAGAAGATTCAATAAATATTTCTAAGAGAAGGGACCATAGCTAATAGCATGTAATATTTTTTTTATTTTTTATCTTTGCATTTTGTTACATATGTAGTGTTATCATTTAGACTTTTCAAAATCATATTAGTGTTAACTGTACATAGTCAAGTTAATTTAATCTAGTTAATCCGTGTTTTGTCAAATTCAGCAATTTGTCCTGAGTTTGAACTGTTTGCATTGCTCTTTTTTCATTCATTGTGACCTGTGAAAGTTGTTTAAGAAAGGAAAAAACAACTGGTAGACTTCTGAGGGAAATTCCCAAGGATTGTCCCTGAGTCACGGATGCTCTGAAAACCCCACTTTTTAATTCCTAGACACATTTTTAATAGTAAAACAGGAAAATATTTTCTGCTTTGTTGGGTTATGGGAATTATATTAAACTTTCTGAATATTTGGAATATATATCTGGAAAATCAATATTTAACTATTATTTTTCCTGTCTATATGACATGAAAACCAAGTAACTAACATGTAGGTTAGATACCATGCTGTGTATAAGTTCTTCTGATAAAATATATTCCTATTAATGCATCTCTCTTGTCTTGTAATTACTCCGTGACATAACTGTGAAATAAAGTTTTTTCTTCTGTTCTTTATTCACGCATCCTTGAAACATTTTGAAAGAGAAAAATCTAATCTTGTAGCTTAAATTACATATGTTCTGTTGCCATAATGCTTTAAATTTCCTGTACAATTTCTCTTAGTAGCTGCTAATTTCTTTGTACTTCATTCTCCTGGGTGGAAGGTAACCGTATATACTCCTACAGGAGTCCGATAGAAGCTTTCAGCTGCTTTGTTCACATCACGGATCAGAACGGAAATTTTGGCTTTGTACCACTAGAGGGCAAACACAGACCATTACCTGATGTCTTCTAGCAGTATCTTGATATAGCAGTTAAATTTCGAATCTACTCTGTGGCAAATACAGCCATAACATACACAGGAGCTTTGTTACCTCCTTTACCTGATGCAAAACCCGTATCAAGTAAAGCAACCTGAAGTCTGAATTAGGTTCACCACCACTGAGGTTGAGCATGAGAACACTTGTGTTCCTGCAGAGCAATTTCAGCTCCTTAGATCCACCCCTGATCACATCATTGTAACCTCTGCCTCTTTCTGGTGCTGCTTGTTGTGCTCGTTTATCACATTGCTATTGGTTTCTGCCCTCATTCTCTCATAGCCTTTTCTATCTTTCCCCTGGAACAGAATAGCCTCATCTCACCTTCTTGCACACTCCTTTCATGAAGCTCTCTCCACTTGGTTCTCTCAGACCAGTTTCATTTCAAGCAGAATGAATAGGGCAAGCTGGAACATCAAATAAAGCTTTCTTCTTCCTTCCAAACCAATGCCTGGATCAACTTTCCAGCTACTTCTGGTATTGGAGAAAACTCATTTTGCTAGGTAGCCCCACAAATTCCATTTCAACCTTTGAACAATAACAAAGGTTGGTTAAAGAAAGATTCCTTTGGCTTCTGCTCTGTTGTGGGATGGGTCGCATGTCATTCTTCAGCCAAAAGTGGTGCTCTTTTACTGACTTCTAACACTTGTGTTCAACCAAAGCAGAACTCACTAATCCCTAGGGCCAGAAAAGAATCCGTATGCTGTATTGAGAATTTGGCACACATTTGGAATTTTCAAAAATAAATAACATTAGCATTTTTGTCTGTCATCACTTAGTCTTCTCTTTTTCTCAGCATCACTACTGAAATAATTTCATTTGCCCTCGGTATTAAATTGATTTTTAGTGCTAAAATTAAAGTTTATTTGGAGCAGCATTCTGGCTGCAAATGCTTTAACCATACTAATGAGCAAATTTGGTTCCAAGCTGCACTGATGAAACCCCACTGACTTAATTGATTCAGGGAACTGGAGAACAGATTTCAGTCTGACAGTCTGAGAGATTTTCACAAGAGGATTTGACCCAAAAATATCATTTTGCCCAAATAGAGAATATCTTACAGAACGAGACCTTAGTGTAAATTATTCTTGATGCAATGGTAAGTCATGAAGTTTCAAGTATGAACATTTTAGAAGTACAGCTTTTGAAGAAAGAAATTTTTAACCAGGAATGTTAATCAGATTGTTTAACTTGGTGTCACATCTACCTCTGATCAGTGTTCAACCTGGTCCGTTCCAAACAGCTGCTTTCAAACTTCTTTTTTTTTCTCTCTCTCTTCGGTGTATTTCCACAATAGCAGTATATCATAGCCTATATATTCTATAAGGAATAGCAGAAAGTTAGCCTATATAATCAATCACTCAAGCACTTAGCTGGAGGTTGGAGAGCAGGCTTACCCTGGTCTCACTGTTGCCATTGCTGCATTTCAGAGGTGCCTATGGGGAGAGTTTGTCAACTTTTGTGCTCTCCAGTGAATGCCATTAAGACCAATTTAATACTATCTAAAAAGAGACTTTTTAAAATAGAGAACATGGTCAAGTCCGATATTCCTTAGGTAAGTAAACTACTCTGAATTTTTGCTGCACAATATAAATCAGAAATTTCTTTATCATGACTGTCCTACTCCCTCAATTTCCCTCCCTCCCTTTCTTCCTACATCATCTTATTATGCTTAGGTAGCATTTGAGCTCATTTATTTATAAAAATAAAGGCTGGTAACATATTGAAGTACTCCTGCTATCCTCAAGCATTTGCCTGGAGAGTCAAATATCTGTGACCACAGACTTTTCTAAGTGGCTTTTAGAGTCACTGATACTTGATCTAAGATGGAAGAAGGTGGAAGCATCATGGTTGAGTTTTTCTAAATGAACTGAATTCCCTCTATCAGTATTTCACAATCCTTAAACTTTCCTCTTTTAATCACATTTAAAAAATTACAGTGATCAATTTGATCATTTTGCAAGTATTCCTGTGTTGCATGGCCTACTTGTGGTCTATATCAGTGCAGAGAAGGGGACAGTTCCAAAGAACAGCAGAGAGGGAAACTGAATAATTTAAGCACATGATTCTTTCCACTGACTGATGAATTAAAGGTGTTTATGAGGATGATAAGCTCATTGAATAAAAAAAAAAATAAACAACTGTGTCTTCCATTGAGCATCATGTAATAAATTCTCCCAGATTAAATCTACAGAGACCTTTCTAAGCTTGGGCACTTACTATGTCCTGACTATGTTCTGCCTTCTCCTGCAAAAGCTCTGAGCAGAGTGGGATTATGTCCAGCTGGCTTTGAATCGCTGACTCCTCACAAATGAAGCACAACTGAAAGGCAGAGGAGTGTGTTTACACAACATATATAAGTTTATATAAAAACTTTTGTAAAAAGTGGCTGGTCTGTGTTTATTTCCCAGTAAACCTTTGCTTGAACGTCACTGTAGTATCCTGCAATTAAAAGCCAGCTTGTGAAAAAAGCACATAGATCAACTGCTGCCAGGGAGTGTGTCAACATTTCAATCAAAGCCGAGTGAAGAAGAGCCCCTTCCACACAGCTAAGAGTAACAAGAATACCATAACTTCTTCATTTTAATGTATTATGCAATTAAATATTTTTCAGGGCTTTCATTCCTCCAAGCCTTTAATTTTCTTTTATTTGTTCATTCTGTTGGGAAACCTGTCCAGTACAAAAACAATCACGAATAAAAATTTCAGTATATCAGGAAAATATCATAGAATCATAGAGTCATTCAAGATTGGAAAAGACCACTAAGATCATCTCATCCAACTATGGACCCATCAGCACAATACCCACTAACCATGTCCCTCAGTGCTACTTCTATATGTTTCATGAACACCTCTGGGGGTGGTGATACCACCACCTCCCTGGGCAGCCCATTCCAGTGCCTGACCACTCTTTCTGAGATGGCAGTGCTTGCATCTGACATCAGGTTTGTGCTTGAGTATGTCACTGAGACTGAATCTGTGGTACGCAGTTACAAGTACAGGTAAACCAGATGCCAGCATGATCTGTATGCCACTAGGTGGGGATCAGACACTGAAATAAAGTACATTAGTGAGGCATCATTAACAGATTAAGTTACTCCAGGAGGGAAACCACCTCATAGACCTTTGTGTTATTCTGTCAAAGCAGAAATGGGTGTTAGACTTCCATGTGACTGCAATTCTCTTGACTATATTTTATTTTTAGGTAGAGATGCTGCTCTGCCTAATATAAACTGTCACTTTTCAGGACACAAATCTCTGTCAATTGTACTAAAATAAATTGCATTAGCTTGTTATTTTTAACTTGAAGGGTCATGGCAGCAAAAGTAAGTAGTTGCAAATTGTTCTGAAATTAAAATTCAGATCCTGATATGGTATTTACTTATTCTAGATAATTATTGCAATCAATACAGCTAATATGCAACAAACAATTCCCAAATTGGGAATTGGAAACTTGATCCACAGCCTTTTCTTTGATGAAGGCATGCAGACAATATCTCAATGGATTGCTCCTGTCCTTGTAATGCCCTGACATTTTGGAACCCACTGTTCCCTTTGGCCACTCTTTTTTCTCAGATCAATGCACATTTTATGCTTGATGAAGACAAGTCTACATACAGTTACCTGTGCTGAATGCCCAAGGCAAAGGTAGTCCTTTAGCATATCTTGCAAGTCAACATATATGAGATTTCTGACTGACCAACCCTGCCAAAATAACATAGAGAAAATCTCACTGGGTTCAGTCTCTGCTTTACTAACATGAGGTTGATAGGGATGAACTGTTGGCTTAACAGCTCAGATCTCACTGGCACCTTCAAACAGGAGGGCAAAGCCATTCCCAGAATGAATCCTCTGCTGACCAGTTGCCACAACTGATGTCAGCCTGGATCAGCTCCATACAGTGCTGTCTTCTTCATCTATTTTTTTCCTGCATTGACCTATGCCAAGGCTTCTTTTCGTTGCAAAGCTGCACACTATGCCAATCCACTGTGGCTATGAGTTGCAGAATTTGAGCTATCTCCCTTGAATTCTTGGACTGCATGTTTTTGACCCTTATATTCCTTCCTCTGATTTGAAGTGATGTCATCCAGATCACGGGTCATAATGGTGCTGTAGAGGTTCTTGAAAAAGTGACAGTTTCTGCTTTGCCTTTCCTTATGTGTTTTAGAGAAGGAGAAACCAACAGGATGGCAATTGTAGACATATTGTATGTTGAAATGCCTCTGTTCAGTATCCCAATGGCTATTCACAAGTTAGAATAAATAGCTTTGCTGTGTCATGTATGGATAGAAGAATAAATTTAGGTTTGTCTTTGTCAGTCCCCATACAACTCTGTCCTGT